AATAACAGGTTTCTACGACATTTATTACGTAGTACATACTTACAGCTTGACGTTTCGGCTGTATTGCTACAGCCGTGGTCACATGCTGTTTCTAATTGTAACGCCAAAATTTTAATAATATTCTAACTATGTATTAAAAAAAACTTTATAAACTTGAAAAAAAAATACAAGCCAAGAGCTTCCCCGTAGTTGATAAAAAAATCAAACAAAAATAAAGAGTAGCGCACGAAATTAATTTTGACATCTGTCATTTTGTTAACAGCTTTGGACAGAAGCCTATTGGCCGCAAGTCACATAATAACAAAACCTAAAATAATTATTTTAAAGCTCATGTTACAGAATGTAGTAAGTTCATTTATTGGATTTAGCTGCAAACGAAACGACGGACGTCACAATAATCAAATCTAAATCAATCTCGTGACGTCACTTATTGTTAACGGCGCTGATGGCTGCCTCGCGTGCCAGCAGTAATACGGTTCCATACTGGTTCAATAGCAATGGACTATGAAAACAGTAACCTCACTTTAAGAGCTCTTTCGACGGTAATCCAGCAATGCAGGATCCACAACTCCAATTCGTCTCTTCCCGTGGATATCGTAAGAGGCGACTAAGAGACAAATACGTGAACATCAGGCCTCCCCAACCCGTCTGGCCAGCGTGGGGAGTGTAGGACAAATCCTCCATTTGCCTCTGGTCAATTAGAGAGTCGTGCTCCTGCAGTGGAGACTAAATGACCTGATGATGGTTAAAGACGGGGCTTCTGGGTCCAACTCTATCATACAACACATAGAATCTGATATGATTTCCAATTCGAAGCACTACACTATTCCATTAGACATTTAGTAGTCGGCAATAATTCTGTGCCTATACAAAATTGATTGCTGTTTCTATAGTAAACAATTTATATCTGTGTGGTTATATTAAAACATTGTTTTTAATCAAACCAGTTTGTGTTTTGTCGTTTTCTTCTGGCGTATTGTCGCCATATTAATGTTAGAAGCATAGAAATGAAGCTATATTTTACAGTGTTAATAATTATATTTGAAGTAGCTATGAACGTTCTATAAATTAATATAGTTTAGATACTATAAATTTTGTAAGTCAGCGAAATAATGTCAAGTTTGCTTTGTAATTTAAATGTATGTATGTGACTTATAAATCATTAGGTCACATTTAGTCTCCAGTCCAGTTTCTTATTACCAAAGAAAAATTTACAATTTGGCCACGCTGGCTCGACGGCTTGGGTAGGCCTGACATTCGCATCTTTGTACAAATAATACACCAACTCAAATTCATGATTCAGTGTAGCTCAAAGAACTGAAGACTCGACAGAACTCGGACTCAAGTGACTAACGAGTCCTAGTTTTGAAAATAGACTCAAGTCTCGAAATGAAGACTAAAAGACTCGAGTTTCTTACAACTCTAGAAGAATCAGAGTAGTACTCTACGACACTGCTAATTTACTAGCGAATCTAATTGATAATGTCACTATTATTGACCTAAATTAGTCAAAAGCCTTTAAAACAGATGTATTTAGACATAAATATCCACAAATGGTCCATCAACAGATATGAAGATATTTAAATGACCCCTAAACGCACTTAATTCACTCGTAATGAATTTATCCTGAAATAAATTATCACGTCGGTCCGTACTGCAGCGGAATGTTAACAGCCAAAGTTGGGGGAATTATGTCTTTTTAGTGCCACCCCGTTAATTTGTTTTGTTTATTGTAATGGGTTAAGTTTCGGACGAGGTGCGCGAAAGTTGGATTTTTGGAGTTGGGACCTTTTGCGGGTTAGGTGCCGAAAAAATTATTGGTAAAAAATGTGAAAATGTATTTTAAAGTACTCAGTCTTCTCTACATTTTATTGCGTGCATAAATTGTAATTTCCATGAAAAAAGTATTCATTCAAGGAATAATGAATTCAAAAATTCAAATAAACTTGACATTTCCTACAATTTCCATCGCTTTACGCGCCGCCAAAATTTGAATTTGGAACCCGAAAAAAAAGTTGCGGCTTCGCTATATTTTCCCGCCGAGACACACTGCACCTCGTTTCGTTTAATTAAAAAAAAGAATAAAAAAGTAACTGGCCGTTTTATCGGGTGATAAACGAGTGTTGCTACAATCCACTGCCCAAACAAAAAACAACCTTAACTCCCAGCTTTCAACGCACATACTCCCTTAACCCCAAACTCGCATTTTTCAAACAGTCAAAAGATTTGTGTTCAAGCCATTTCCTGTTCTATTCTAAAAGCGATAAAATTCAAAATTCATTGCATGCGATGCGGCACCAATTTAGCACTGTTGACGACAAACGATTTCCGTTTCTAAACACATTTGCGTAAAGTCTAAAATACTTTGGGAATTGTTTTGTGCGTTCGAAACGTTTTAAGTATTGCGGACGTGTTAATCTGATTGGAGGCTTCTGGGCTTGATAATAAGGTGTAAAATGTTTCGGTTGGAATAATGTTGGTAGTGCAGGAAGCCGCAAAAGTGTTTACAGGCATTTTCCGCTGATAGGCCGAGTTTATGTCTAGAATTTATAGCATAGTACAGTCACACGCCAGTCTAGATCTTTTTTGCTGATTGCCTTTGATTTAAATGAGTGTTTGTATAAAATAGTGGCACAATATTGTTCTAGAGAAACAAAGAAACGTTTTTGTGGGCTAGTATTGTTAAGTTTATTTATTGGGGTAGGTAATTATTTTATCTCTGAGACTTTTGGTTTAAATAATGATGTTTTTGTAAATCTAGACCGAGTATTTTGGTATCATTAAGTGATGTCAGACATAGACGACCCACACGATGGAAGATTTCTTTATAGAATACTACAAAATCGATTAAAAAATAATTTAAAAATAAAGTTGAGCCTGTCAAAATCTTCGGCGTTCTATATCGTTGTCATTATTATTTATTCTCATCATCAACAGTCCCCAAAATATTTGATCACCATCATCATCATCATCATCAGGTCATTTAGTCTCCACTGCAGGAGCACGACCCTCTAATTCACCAGAGGCAAATGGAGGATTTCGCCTACACTCCCCACGCTGGCCAGACGGGTTGGGGAGGCTTGATATTCGCATATTAATTTGTCCTTTAATCACTGGCCTAAGGAACCTCAACTGTAAACAGCGGTTCACTCTTGACCGATCTCGTCAATCAAACGTTTTCATTAAACAAAGGAGCGGCATATTAATCACTAATTACAATAATTATTACATTAACCGATAAGACCTTATTTTTTGTGTATACTTTACGGTCACGGCTGAGTTGTTACGAAGTGCGTTTTTATGTGCTATTGTTGATGGTATTGTACTTATGGTCAGACATTATACCGTTTAATTTATTTATTTTTCAAAAATTCAAATTTCATCAGAATTAAGTTGGGACTTTTTTTCTGAATTAGACGAAGTCTAAAGTATGTAAGTTGTTTTATAGAAATTCTTTCACCAGTAAAAATCCTGCAATATTTCTCTTTTACAATGATAATTCAAAGTAATGTTTTAAATGCACCTTTTTAACAAACACCTTTTTAATATTTTAAACTATTATGTTGCATTTTTACTATAAAATTATCACTTCACGGGATTAATTGCAACAATATCTATTTTAACGGTAAATAAAACACCTTTTTATTCATCAAAAACAAAAAATACATTCCCAATCATTTTACAACAAAATTACAAGAAACATCTATGTATCACGATCTATTTAAAAGTCGGCCATGTTTATTACACAAAACTACCCGCAGCAAATGCATTACCCCACTAATTACAGGATAATTGGGGAGAATTCACTCCATGGTGGGACAACCCCCGTCCGGTTACTCGAAAACGACGTTTTTGTACTTATATGATTTTGTATTGTGACCCCAGTATAATTACGAGTATGTGTATGTATGTAAGATAATAATGTAATATTTTTTTATTGATTCATGATAAATACAATTTTTTTAATACTAACTAAATTACTGACTTTTGCTCGCGTTAAATAAGTATCAAGTAAGTATACAAATATGGATAATGGTGAAATAATTTTAGAAATCAGTTTAGTGGTTTCAGAGCTAATTTACTTTAAATCAGTGTTTTTCACCCTTTTTCATGACGCGACCCGCCGTAGTATGAAAAAAAAAATATTTTCGACCCCCCCAACCGTTCGCTTTTTTCATGCCTGCCATGCCAAAGATGTTGTAGGGACCGAATTTTTCAATCTATACAACATTTATGCATTTGCATAATTTCGAATAAATCTAGCTTTAAAACTTTTACTGTAACTTCGATCAATTCAGATAAAAAGTGGCCTAACTTGATTTCTTTTTTCTTTATTAAAAAATAAACTAACAAAACGAACACACATTTTAGTTGTAACTAGATGTGCTATACATCAAAACACGGCACCCTCGTTCATAATTGAATGAGTCAATGATACTCATTGGGTAACTCAATGGACTCTAACCCCTTCGTAGCTATAAATTAATAAATGCTGGACCGTAAACGATGGCGCTCTAATTGATGTATGTCTATGTCTGGGCGGAGCGATATTAAATGTACGGTGGCCATGCTTTTAGAGGTTTTGGGTACATTTTTTAATGTAAAAATTGTGGTAGTTAGATTTGGAACAAACTCTGTTGAAAATAAACTGATCAAAAAATGTTGACCCCACTATGAACTGAACCCGGGCCCTCTGAGTCTAAGACAGGTTTTACCACTGGACCATTGAGACAGTTAAAGGTCATAGCAGACTTATCAACTCGGAATATCGCCTTTCGCGAGCTGTCATCGACTTTGGTGCGCTGTCAACCGCGAGGCGAGGCGTTTACGTTACGGTGCGGTGCAGTATGGAGTTTCATACAAAGAATACCTACCGCCTCGAGTTGACACGGTTACGTACGATCCCTTTTCAGGTTGATAAGTGTGCTAAGCTACGTCCCTAAGTGTCAGAACTGACGAAAAAAGTAAACAAAAATAATGTCATAAAGTTTCTAACAAAGCCTTTTCTTTGTCCACAGGTCCAAGAAGTAGAAGGACGAAGAAGAAACCGAGCACAGAAGAGAAGAGGCCCAGAACTGCGTTCAGTGCAGCACAACTCGCGAGGCTAAAGGTTGGTTCCATTAATCATCATCATTTCAGCCACAGGACGTCCACTGCTGAACATAGGCCTCCCCCAATGATTTCCACATCGCCCGGTTGGTAGCGGCCTGCATCCAGCGCCTTCGTGCTACCTTTATCAGGTCGTTGGTCCACCTTTTGGGTGGACGTCTCACGCTGCATTTTCCATTATTAGTTGGTTCCATGATTTAAAACTAATGTCAAGAACCTAAACTGTCACACTGGATGCCCGCACTGTCAGATCGGGACTATTTCTTCTAGTTCCCACCGCTGCAACTCCTGTGTAGCCAGGATCTACAGCTTGACCGCCAATAACCCAACCAGTGAAAGCCAAGTTTGTCCCGGGGGAAAGTTAAATTGTCATTGGACCCGCAACGAAATTAATCAGAAGAACATAGGAGGACTTCGAAGTTACGGTTCGACTTCCGCACTGTCAGATCGCATCAATACAAAATATACACATATTAACAATGTTGTTTAAACATAATTAGGGCTGCGTTCACTTTGACCTGACCGCAGATCGCATCCAGTGTGGAAAATCTTTAGGTCTTTTCAATATATAGTTGTTGCAATTCACGAAGGCGAGTGAGCTTTACATGTGTGGTGGCTCGCTACTGTTCGTTTTTCAAAAGTTTTGATACACATTACACTATCGTTATGTGCATATACACGTACACACACAACTAAAGCTCACTCGCCTTCGTGAGTTGCAAGAACTATCTTTAAGTATTGAATTGGAAATGTGCTTTGGTTCCATATTAGGAGATCATAGGATTTTTGTTTCCCCGATTGTTTCAAAAGAAATTATGATTCCGTGATTAGCCCTTATCAATTGATTACATTTAGTCACGTCAGACGTCTATGACGGCTTCGAGTTTGATGCCAGAGCTGTGACTTACTTACTACAACCGTTATCATGACAAAAAGATCAGATTTCATTAAAAATACTCCTTTGACATTACCACAGCATCCCAACTATCCCAACTATCCCAACTAATATTATAAATGCGAAAGTAACTCTGTCTGTCTGTCTGTCTGTCTGTCTGTCTGTCTGTCTGTCTGTCTGTTACGCTTTCCCGCTTAAACCTCGCAACCGATTTTGATGAAATTTGGCATAGAGATAGTTTGAGTCCCGGGAAAGAACATAGGATAGTTTTTATCCCGGTTTTTGAAACAGGGACGCGCGCGATAAAGTTTTTCTGTGACAGACAAAATTCCACGCGGGCGAAGCCGCGGGCGGAAAGCTAGTAACCTTTATAATTCAAAAATTGCCCTTTTTAACTATAGAAAAACCTTTTTGACTACAGGCTCCCCTTGCCCCAAAGAAAACAGTCATTCCTAAAACGGGCCATCCTCTGCCTCAAACATTTGAGCCATAAACATCCTCTAACCTGTCCTTTTATTCACAGCACGAGTTCGTCGAGAACCGCTACCTGACCGAACGCAGACGCCAAGCCCTCGCCGCAGAACTGGGACTAGCTGAAGCCCAAATCAAGATCTGGTTCCAGAACAAACGCGCCAAGATCAAGAAGGCTACAGGCCAGAGGAATCCTTTGGCTTTGCAGCTCATGGCTCAGGGACTATACAACCATAGGACGGCGACTGAAAGTGATGAGGAAGAGGAGATTAATGTCACTTAAAGGATTTTTATGGCTGAAGGAAGTTTGGATTTAAGACGAAGCATACTTATCAGTCCGGAATCGTAACCGTATCAACTCGAGGCGGTCAGTATTCTTTGCTGCATTGCACATTTATACGCACGTAACGTACACGGCGGAAGGCGATACGTTGTTGATCCCTTTCCGGGTTGATAAGTGTGCTATGACCTTTAGAAAGGACTGGGATGATCTGTGTTAAGTTTGGTATAATATTACAAGGGTTTTGAAATGTTTTGCAGGTTGAGGCTTTAAGTATTGTCATCAACAAAGGTTACAGTATTTAGGACGTGGAATTTTTATTTTATTTTTAAATAATTGTGATGAGAAGGGACATTTTTGGGGTGAGGATTTTAAAATAATCACTAGTGATTTCTCAGATATAATTATCTAAGTATTATGAGAAAACTGATAAATTAAAGATACTCGTAGATACAGTGGAAATACACAACCTAAGTTTTGAAAAATATCTTGCGAACATTGGAATTTTTGCAACTTAACTAGTTCTTTTGTTTATTGAATAATCTTATCAATAGTAATTATACATCCTCTGTTGTAGTAAAAATATTTAAATTAATGTAATTTTCCCAATTTTGAACTGAGAAATGACTCTTTTTCTTTTTGCAATATCGACTTATTTATTATTATTACAATTTACAATAATCGAAGTTCGAGAAGCATAATTATGTTCCTGAATGTAAATAAACATAACTTAAAGTTTATTTATTAATATTTTAATTTGGAATTAATAAATTGCAATTTGTAAATACTCTGTAGATCTTTGAAGTATTCTAAGATTTAGAATAAATGTAATTATCTTATTTAAATAAATTTGTAAGATGCGATGCGATAACCAAGTGTATAAGGTAATTTTATTAGGTACAAAATCACTTGAATATTCGTAGTCAGAATAATTTAGAAATAATATTCAAACAAAAAGGTTCTTGTTCTAAATTAAAACTTTGTCATTTACATTAATAGAATGGAATTAAAAACAATCGAATGCTGAAAAAAACAACTGATTTTAAAAAAGAAATACACAATGACATGTCAAGAAAACTATTTTGTTTTGCAATGTATTTTTCTATTTGGCATTATGTTCGCTATTCAATAGTCATGAAAAAAAAACACTGTCTATAATGTTCTTTTTTACATTTTGTGTACATTGACGTTGAAATCCGTTTTTAACATTGTTTATTTAAAAAAATAGAACGATTGAATATTAAGAGTGTGTGAACTTCAGCCTAACTCAAGCTGAGTTTCAGTTGAATTTGTCAAAGCGATATCGACAATGACGATGATCGACAATGTTATATTGTTCCAAATATCTATTCGTTCGTTCGTTCGTTCGTTCGTTTCAGTCGAAAGACTATATTATCTATAATCTTGTACATTGTCTTTAATCTTTAATCTATAATCTTGTAAATTAAATTGTCTAGAAGCGCAGATTTTTTGGTTAGCATCTATGTAACTAAGCGGTCGACCAAGGTCTGGTATTAACATTAAATTATTTTAAGGGTGGATTCGACAAAACAAGAGTAAATATTAATCTCAGATTAAATGGTCAGTTTTGACATATTTCCCATACTGACACTGTCAATGTGCCAGTTATACCAGGAGTTATTCTCGGATAAAAGTTTGGTCGAATCGGGCCTAAAACAAATAGGTATAATTATGGGCTTGTTCTTGTTTTTTGCAGGATCCAGTTTAGTACGTATTTTAATATTAACGTTCACCGAACATCCCGTTTGCAGTGTCCCGCAAAAAACCGATCCGTTCGAACTTGTAATTCGAATTTTAAACACACATGTATCCACACGACGACAGTCCTGCATTACTGGAAACCGGCAAACTGGATTCCCGTAGGAAGGAGTCCTAATACATACAAAATATGTAAACTTATGAAAAGCTTTTAAATTATTATTTACCGAATTGATTTAGTCTATTGTATATTTATTTGGTCCACTGATTGATCACATTGTTACAACTGAGCGACTTTGTATATAAATCAGTATACATAATGTATATTTCTTTTAGTTATAAGTATTAGTCATGTGTTTTCTTCCAATCTATGTTTCGTTGTAAATATTTTGTTATTTTTATTTTATATCATTACTTACGACTGTGTTAGTTTTATTTAGTGTTTAATGTAAAAAGATAATAAATTATATCTATGGTTTACACAATTGAATACGTTTGTTTTATTAATATTTTGAACCACTTTTTTTTTATTTTTTTATTTTTTATTTTTTATTTTCAGTATTTCTAATGATATTAGGCTAAAAAAGCTATTAAAAGACTCATAAAACTAATTTATAAGCAAGTAAGCCTTGAGTTTGTTGCGGCGAACTTCTCAGCACTTGCCAAATGTTGGTCTCGAAGCGCTGGTAGGGCAAAAAGATTATGAGACATGTAGAGGCTCCTTAAGAGCAAAATATTTGACGTTTTGTTAGTAGGTACTATTTAAATAGTCTATACAAATAAAGAAATTTTGACTTTGATAAAGCACTTTCACACGTCCCAGTATTAATCCTACCACTGCTTCGGGACAATAAATGAGCTAGTGTTGAGAAGAAGCCTGAGCTTGAAAAAGATGAGAATTTTCCTTTTTTTTTCTTAGTTAAAAATAATTTTAACAACTTGGGTTCAAACCCAACTTTATATTTATTAAGGAATGGAGTTATAAGCTTCAGTAGCTACTAAAAAATATGAAAACATATAGAAAATATAAAGAAAGGAAAAATTTATAGAAACTACTAGCTTTTGCCCGCGGCTTCACCCGCGTGAAATTTATTGTGTCACAGATCGTCGTATCGTAAAGTTTCATCAAAATCCATTCAGCTTTATGCGTGAAAGAGTAACAAACATGTTAACATCCAGACATCCACACAAACTTTCGCATTTATAATATTAGTAAGATTAGGTCGAGCAACGAAAGCTGAGGAGAATGCGTACTCCTCACACTGCTGTAATTGAATACAGTGTGCCTACCATGAGTTTACGTTAGGTGTGCTCGCTAGCGACTGCGTAAAAAAATGACATTTAAATGTATGACATATTGTCGGCGCCTCTAGCGGCTACTTTCAAGAAATAAAATCTTCATAGAAAATTTTGACGTATTCGCTAGCGAGCTCACCTAACGTAAACTCATGGTAGGCACACAGAACACAAACAATGCTTATAACTCCAAGTTTAAATATCGAATAAGTACACTAGCTATAGATCATTTCATCCACGAAGACGCGCCCCACCATTCTTCCGCTAATGTTTGAGTGTTATCGGTACACGCTAAATTATCCATGAGTGCACACTCACACTATAATAATGACGCTTGGATTGCTCGGATCAAACTCCGTGCACCCCGCGCTTTCCTCGACCAAAAATTGGTGGGGTCTTCGTGGATGAAACGATGATCAGTTCACTTACCTGTTCTGCAGTCTACCAGCATATAGTCCCAGGATACTTCTTCTCTTCTCTACCTCCAAAGATGGAAGAAGTTGATCAGGAGTCTACCTCGATCAACTTAATCAAGGCAGCGGGATGTAACGCACTTCACAAAAATACACTCTACAATATTGTTCCAAAGCACTGAATTGACTGTAAAATTTTCTTTCGAAGCACAAAATACAATGCACAATATTGTTTCAACGCACAAAATACACTGCCCAATTAAGTACGTTTCAAAGCACGAATTATGTACAGCACACAAGCAGTCAGTGTTTAAGTACTGTCGTGACATCGTACAAACATAATTCTGAAAAAACAAATACGTACAATAAGACTGAACAACGTCCCGAAAGAGCCACGACAATTCGTAGACTAACGTAGACAGCAGCGAGTGACAGCGGAAGAATATTAGGGAAAATGTGGGTAGGTAAAAAAAATAAAATGGAATACCTACATCAAACCTACATTAAAAAGAAAAAAGTACACTAAAATGTAGACAATATTTTTTATTTTGTAACAATTCTATTTTGTGAGCTTTTTACAAGCTTTTATTTGTTTGCTTATTGTTTTCTTTAGTTTTATTGCACGTTTTTTAAGTCCATTTTGTTTTTTTTTATAATATTTTAAACAATAACCTAATTCTAAGATCAAATTTTAAACTACAAATCTAACTTTCCTTTAGACAAAATAAGAAATTTTAAACGAACTAAAATATTTTTTCAAAGTTCGTTAAATTAGTGACTGCTCAGTTACAGAATATTTAGCACTTAAATATAGTTATTTCACTTTTATGAAAAACCTTTTGAACTCCCCATTTGAAGTCGACAAAACGACCATGTCCAACCGTAGCCAGAACACATCAAAGTGCAGGGTTCGATTCCCGGTAGGACTAAATCATTCCGCTTGATTTAGTACGCCTTGAGCTTATGATTTATTTAAGTATTAGATGTAATTAGTCTAATTTATTATGTTTAATTGAGTGCTTGTTTTGTTTTTGTGATTAACCGACTTTAGAAAGGAGGTTCTCAATTCGGTTTATGTTTGTTACCTCAGAAAATCGTCATTTATAAACCGATTTGAAAAAATACTTTTATTATATTTAATCTTTTACTAGACCGGAACATACCGGAAAGCGCGGCGTAGGATGTCCACAAAGTGGACCGACGACCTCATAAAGGTAGCAGGAAGGCGCTGAATGCAGGCCGCCACCAATCGACCATTGTGGAAATCCTTGGGGAGGCCTTTGTTCAGCAATGGACGCCATTTGGGTAAAATGAACTAACGAAATTCAGCCCAAAACTCTGCTACAAGAGTGGCGTTGTCAGCAGCATTCATTAAATCCTCCTGCGTGCAGTTGCTCGGGCACTCAGGGCACGACATCATGTGCTTCATCGACTGGGGAACAAAACCGCACCTGCACTCCATGTTTGAGTCATCAAAGAATCCCCATCCGACCAGATTGTCCTTACTACGGCCAACCTGCGTCCGAAGTCTATTTAAAGACTTCCAGGTAAGCCAGGAACGAAATTAGGGAGGGTGTCCTTTTGTGGTAAAGACTATCTTCATCATCATCATCATCTCAGCCATAGGACGTCCACTGCTGAACATAGGCCTCCCCCAATGCTTTCTATGATGCCCGGTTGGTAGCGGCCTGCGTCCAGCGCCTTCCTGCTACCTTTATGATGTCGTCAGTCCACATTGTGGCCACTTGTGTCCACCCACAAGGTGGACCGACGACATCATGGGAAAGAGTAATGATGATAAATTGATGATGAAATAAAATATGTAAAATAAGTTTTTTTGCCCTGACTTCAGCCCAAAACAAANTCTTTTAAGGTGGTACTTAGTGGACTTTATACCAGCCTCCCAAAGTCCTCCAAAGTTTGGAGAACGTGGAGGGATAAAGTGCCAATTGGTTTGATTGGAAGATAACCAATTTGCGATCTCTTGTGCAACACTCGACCTTTCCACATCGAACAGATCCCTTAGCTCTCGGGCACTTCCAACGAAGGTGGTACCGTTGTCGCTCCACATATCTGCGACATGACCTCGCCTAGCTACAAATCTCTTAAACGCTGCTAAGAATCCTTGAGAAGTCATGTCGCTGACTGCTTCAAGATGTATGGCCCTAGTGGACATGCAAATAAATAAGCAGATATATCCCTTTGTGGAGCGATGACCTCGACCCTTTGATACCCGTATGCTGATTGGGCCTGCGTAGTCTACTCCACATGCAAGAAAAGGTCGATGTGCAGTGACTCTAGAAGAGGGTAATTGACCCATAAATGGTTGATTGGGTTGTGCGGAATGACGAATACAAGTCACACACCTTCTTACGTACTGTCTCACGAGGCCCTTAACGTTGATGATCCAGTAAGTGCTCCTTAAATAGTTTAGCATGAGTTGAGGACCTCCGTGCATAGTGGACTCGTGAGCTTGTCGAATCAAAAGAGTAGTGAGGTGTGACTTGTGGGGAATAATTATGGGGTGCTTCATATCTTCGCTGATATGAGCATGGTGAAGTCTTCCGCCTACTCGCAAAATTTGGTTTGAATCCAGGAAAGCGCTCAAAGAATTCAGTGTACTCTTTTTATTTAACTTTCCGGTTTTTTGTAAGCACTCTATATCATCGCTAAATTGCTGTCCCTGAATTATTTTGATGTATGTATATAAGGTTTCCTTTATTTCCTTTGCTGTTAGAGTAACATTCGCTGTATCTGTTCTCTCTCCTTTAGGTTGTCTCCATTGAAGAACTCTACGGCAGTACGACAACACTCGTGTGAGCTTGATCAGAGATGAGAATCTGGAAAACAAGTCATCATGTACACCTTCACAATTATTGTAGCATTTTATCTTTTGTTTCCGTTCTTCCATGTTAGTGTCTGTTACTCCTGTTGTATATAATATCTTTTCCTTGTATAGCCACTTGGGACCTTCTTTCCAGAGCAGATTGTTGGTGAATTCAGAAGGTAGCAATCCTCTAGATGCACAATCTGCTGGGTTCTCCTTAGTTCCCACGTGAGACCATTGAGTTGCATCTGTTATCGTCAGAATCTCCGACACTCTATTAGCGATAAAGGTTTTCCATCTACTCGGGTGACTTCGCAACCAAGCCAAAACTATTGTAGAGTCGGTCCAAGCGTGTATCTGCGTTTTCGGTATGTTGAGTATTTCTGCGACTTCATTCAACAGTTTGGCCAGCAGTACGGCGCCACACAGCTCCAGCCGGGGGATGGAAACCTGTTTAATAGGTGCAACTCTGGTTTTGGAGGTAATCAAATGCACGTATATCATCCCGTCTTGGTCAATAATACGTATGTACACAACAGCAGCATACGCGACGTTGGAGGCATCTGAAAAACCATGCAACTCGACGCATTGGTCGCTCTTGGATAAATTTACCCACCTTGGCATACGAACGACGGTGAGCTGGCTCAAGTCATTCCTAAATTTAATCCAATCATCCAGCAGTGATGATGGCAGCTCATCGTCCCATTCGATACCCGACAACCACAATCTTTGGATGAATATTTTAGCCATTGTTATAGCCGGGGCTATCCAACCCAAGGGATCGTACAAACGAGCTATATCAGAGATGACTTTACGTTTCGTAACTGGGCATTCTAAAGGAGGAAGTGTAACTATACAACGAAACTCATCAGACTCTCTATCCCAAGCTAATCCCAAGATCTTCATAATATCGTCTGTTTTCAGCTCTAAATCTTTCGCAGGCGTATCCTCATTCATCAAAGCTGCCAGCTCCTTATTATTTGTTGACCATTTTTGCAGAGGAAACCCACCACGCGCTAGCAATTGAGTCATTTCTTGGAAGATTTGTGCTCCTTCGGATACAGAGTGACAGCCCGTTAACAGATCATCCATATAGAAGTCGTTCAGGACTCTAGGAGAGGCTAATGGAAAATCTGAACCCTCGTCATAAGCCAATTGCTGTAGAGCTCGAACAGCCAAGTAGGGTGCACATGATAACCCAAAGGTAACTCTTAGGAGTCTATAATGTTGCACATCTGACTCACGGTTTTCACGCCATAAAATCCTTTGGAAATCTGTATCCTCCTCCGCCACCTTCACTTGTCGGTACATTTTCACTATGTCAGCGACAAGTGAAATCGGAAAGCACCGCCACCTCATAATCAAGTGCCTCAGCTCTGGTTGTAGAGTCGGACCTATCATCAGATCACCGTTGAGTGAAACTCCGTTTGAGTCAGTACAAGAAGCGTCAAATACTACGCGGTTCTTGGTGGTCGTCTTGTCTTGCCGTATCACAACATGATGAGGAATGTAAACACCAGGAGACAGGGGGTCACTAACCTTTTCCATGTGGTTCATATCATGATATTCATGAATAACCTTTGTGTAATCCCTTTTGAGGTCAGGATTTTTTATCAAGCGGTTTTCTAACATGAGGAACCTCTTGAAGGCAATACGTTTAGAATCACCTTGTTTACACGGCGGATCGACTGATTTAAAAGGCAATTTAACTATGTAACGACCATCTACATCTCTTTTAGTAGTCTGAGAAAATAAAGCTTCACAGGCTTGTTCCTCTGCTGTGAGCATTTTCATTTTGGGTAAGGACGGCTCAGCCTCCAATTCCCAAAATTTTTTCAGCAAATGGTCGTCACACATCTCAGTGTGCATATTTACGATGACATTATGGCACGTTTCGTCTTGGTTGAATTGCTGAAGTGTTCTGCCAGAGAGGATCCAACCGAGCTTGGNTTATCAACAGGCTGGTCAGCCTTAGAATGATCACCGGCTGATTTGGAGTTTTTGGGATGAAGAAGAGTGTGGTGTTTTTTCTTGCAAAGACGACATCTTGTAGACATAGTACACTGATAAACAGAATGGCCAGAATTTAAACAGTTAAAGCACAAGTGTTGTGTTTGGACAAAGTCACGCCTTGCATCGAGCAACTCCTTAGCAAATTTTTTGCAATTGCAAAGCTTGTGACTGTCTGAACAAAATGAACAGGATAAGACCGCAGTCGCAAGATGAGAATAATTTGATTTTTGAACCCTATTATCTAAAAATTCCAACGATCTAAATCTATTTTCTAAAAATTCCTCAAAGTCATTTAAAGTTGGGAGTTCTTGAGTCGAACTGGCAATATCTCGTTCCCATAATTTTCGAGACTCTGGATCAAGTTTCTGACTAACCAAAAAAATTACCAAAACATCCCAAGAATCTGTTTTAATACCTAGATTATTTAATGCATGTAAACATTCCTTAGTTGTATCCATTAATTGCTTTAAACTATTTGAAGATTCAGAATTTAAAACTTTTTGTCCCGTCAGCCGCTTCAAAATACAATTAGACAAATATTTCTTATTATTGTAACGATTTTCCAACTGAGACCAACATAACGATGGTGGAAGTATCAATTAATGTAAGGGACATTTTGGCCAAAATGAGTTATATATACCAACGCATTCAGAATTTTCGGCTCTATCGATTGGTATACTTGAAATGTTGATATCTTTAAAAAAATGTCCCTTACCTTACACATTTTTAGTCGTCTGAATACGACTTTTGGGGANACTTGAATGCAACCTCTACTTACATCAGGTTTCAATGTTAAAATTGTCAAGTTACAATAATATTACTGTCGTGTTTATTCTTAAATGTACCTTACAACATACATGACATTCCATACTGTGAAATTTCAACATTGTAAGGTACAGTCAAGCTCGTTTCTTTAATGTAAGGGACATGCTATCTTTTAAACTACCCATTTTTCGAAAATTTGGCGTTTATATTATGAAAGAACAGAAAATTCTAAGAAACTTTGCCATAGAAACTATTTAAATCGTAACATCACATAAAAAGATATTGAGGTATAAAGAAAAAAAAAATCGTTTTTTGGCTCTCCTGAAAAGTCGTGTTTTGTCCCTTACAGTAATTGATATTTCCACTATCGATAATTTATAATTACTTGCAGTTAATGGAAGATGTCTTAACAATTGCTCTGCCTCGCCCGACAAACAACCTTTCAAATAATGTAGCTTCTGCACATCATCAATATTTGAATTTTTGTCAATAACGGAGATGAACATATCGCGAAAACTAACCCATTCAGAATAATTTCCCGAAAATTTAGGAATTGAAATCTCTGGTAACCGCACGCTCGACCTATGTTCATTTCCCTTACTCACGTCTGCTGTAGTTTCAGAGGACATCGGTTTAGGGTTTAACAATAGCAATTTTTCTTTTAACAATGACTTATAATCAATATATTCCTCTTCCGTTTTATCATAATCATAATCTTTGTCTGGCTTATAGCCCTCACTTACTGCCTTATGATGGTTTTCTAAAAACAAAGACCATTGTTTTTCTAAACTTTCTAAACGTACTTCCAAATATGACAAAGTTATACGTTCCTTAGGACATTTCTTAAAGTTAGATTTAGCCTTAATAATTTCCTTAGAAATATTTGTTACAACCAAAATAGTATTTGCCATAATGATAAACTAAAATAACAAAAGTTCAACAAAAAATGTTCGAAAATTTTCTAAGTCTATACAAAAATATTCGTAAATTTTCTAAGTGTTTGGCACTTGGAACACAAAACCGGCGTGGATTCCCCGTCAGTTCAAAATTCACGAAACTATTCTAAGTCCCTGACGACACTTGTAAAATTTTGAACTCTTCACTGTTCACATGCACTAATCCCGAATTTTCTNACACAAAACCGGCGTGGATTCCCCGTCAGTTCAAAATTCACGAAACTATTCTAAGTCCCTGACGACACTTGTAAAATTTTGAACTCTTCACTGTTCACATGCACTAATCACGAATTTTCTAAGTTCAAATCTTCTTGTAAATAAGGTTCAAAATGTACTCACAATTTTTGTCCGTAACACAACTCACACTTGACTGAATGACGTCACTTCTGGCAATGTCCTGCTCGATGGTAGGGTGTCCGCGGGGGTGCTCCCCCCTGCAGCCGACGATGAGGTCCGAGTGGTGACGTCAGAGGAGGTTCCCTCCTCGACTCTGACGTAGTACGCCAAAACAGCTCGCCGCCACCTTGTGCTGCTCCAACAACCGCCAAGCACCATAGGCAACAATCCGCAACCTCTTCGGCGCCGCAATGGACACTGCACTAGTACTACTTCAGAATATCGCCCTTAACCGGCAATACCGAAGGACCATGTACAAGTCCCAAAAAGCCCACAGGTAGTAACTTGAATAAAACCAAGATTCCAGTGGCAAGTCTCTTTTATTCCGAACCAAATTTGAGTATATGTAGGGGCCGTCTAAAACTTACATACCGCGATTCAACCTACAGACAGCGCCATCTATCGGTAACTCAATACACTACATATATGAAGCTTAACATTGAACACATGACTTATTATAGGTCCCATCAAACCCGAAGCGGTCGCATAATCATCATCATCATCATCATTTCAGCGATAGGACGTCCACTGCTGAACATAGGCCTCCCCCAATGCTTTCCATGTTGATCGATTGGTAGCGGCCTGCGTCCAGCGCTTCCTTGCTACCTTTACGATAATAATACGGTCGCATAATACCGCGTAACAATTGATTTCTAGGCTTCAATCCTCAATCAATTGTTACGCGGCCTTTAGCGAATTGGCTTGCTAGAAGGCTCATAGGTGTGCTTAATAAAAACAAATACGTACGTAGTGCGTATACTATAATAACAGTTGACTCTACCACGTGTGGTGCTCAACCCCAGTGGAACACTGAACAAGCCATATCCATCACGTGAGCAGTGCAGATTGGTGAAGGTGGAAGTAAGGCAAGTGGTCAACCTTATTCTCAGATGATTTATGGCAACTCACTAGACTTAATGACTAATAAAAACTCAAATCAAGGGATCTCTAACGTGCCTTCTGAAGCACGAAGATGCTTGTGATAGTGTATGGTGCTGGTAGTAATGAATGGTTGCCCATCCGTAGAGCGTAGGTTGCTTAACTTCGGTGGTCGCCACCTGGCCGCTCACCATCTCTTGACTAAAGCAGACCTTTTATGCTTACCTATAGTACGAGTCTTTCAGTACATTCACATCACAATAGTTTCATTGTTTTTATCAACTTTATAGTGCCTCGTGTCATCTAGTAACAAGAACGACCACTCTTCTCTCTCTATCTTAGTATCTGTCTATACCACCACCACCATTTTCTTTTCCGCCTACTACAATTTAATAAGCATTCACATCACAATGGATTATATTTTTGACATCATTCTGATGTCTCGCGACTTCTGGTGTCAAGTACGACCGCTCCTCTCGCTCTACGGTAGTATCTGTCTCTATCATCACCACCACCATTTTCTTTTCCCTTCACTCCATTTTAATATCCAACAATTTCTCAGCTTGTAGAGGTTTACTTCTGTAGAAAGTTACCGCAGCTAAATCAACGGGAAGTAGAGTTCATAGCTGACACTAAGCCGACTTTACTTCCTACACCAACTGGAAAATATTCATCCTGTAAAACTACAATCATTTTATTTCTACTACGAGGTTGCCGAGTTTATATTATGAGTCTATTGATATTTTACTAGCGTCCCGCCCTGGCTGTGTACGTGCAGAACAAGATTTTTAAAAATAATTAAAAAATATGCCTATGTTCATCTGAAAAAAATACCTATAGTTTACATACAGACAGACGGACAAACAGACATAACGAAACTATAAGGGTTTACTTTTTGTCCTATTCATAAGCTGTAGGATTCCAATAGTGAAAGAATTTTTAAAATCGGACCATCGTACAGCCTATTCAATACAAAAATACAAATGTTTCCTCATAGATATTATAGATTGTGAACACGGTCATCACTATAATGGGTTTCAGGGCACGAGTCGTTAATTTTATGCAAGATATTTTGTTCGACTGCGCGCGCGCTGAATTTAAACTCATAATACTATAGTTTTTAACGACCGGATATAAACCGATACAGTTCCATAATATAAAGTAAATCAGTCTTGAGATGTTATTAGTCGTAATTCGCCAATAATTTAGGTTAAGTAGACTTTAGTTGTAATATTCGTAATTTATGTTTTAGGTTGAGATTTTATTTATGTCATCAATGACATTGGAACGGAATTAATAATTTATTATGATGTCACAAACGATATAAAACGAAAATAGCTCATCAATTATGATGACAAGGTTGTAATAATAAAACAACAAATAAAATATTTATTGATGTCGATTCAGTGTTACAAAGTTCTAGACCAAGGTTTTTATATTGAGATAGTGTCTTAGTACACCCACACATGATTTCATCATTGGATAGGTAATATAGGTATAGTGTGTATACTTTCATACTTTTAAACTTTTTACTATAAGGTAGGTAGGTATAAAACTTAGGTATATCGAAAAACTTTAATATGCACAATTATGTTTTTAAGTCCTAGATGGGAATACCTATGGGACTATTTTAACGTTTACGGAATATTATGGAGAAGGTTACATACATAAATACAGTAATTAATAAGCTTATTTCATTTGTTTCTTCATCAAAATACTTCGTTTGAGCATGTAGGCTCATCTCTCCTAGATAGGGCTGGGGATACTTTACTCAGATTTGAGTTCAAATCAACACCTTAACTCTTCCGTACTTATGACAATCTGTGTAGGTACGAACTGTTAAACAAAAAATTGCTAAGATAATTCGAGATGTAGACCCCTCGAATACTAGAGTATTAAAACGCCGAATGTTTATCTACGGTTGCAAGGTTTTAATACTAGATCACAGCTCAAGAACCACTAAATAAATAGTAAGCGAGTGGTCCAGTAACCCCAAGGTCGCTGTCCAGCCCTTGCCCCGAGGTCGTTCAACCATCGGTGGCGAATACGTTAGTTGGTAAATGAGCGGTTTTATCGATGTAACTTCCGATTATCGCCACTTTTTCTACAGGATTAGGCAAAGGCATAAAACATTAGTAATCCTAAAGTTGCATTACATGACAGATACTACCTTAGACAATTGTAAATTTTAGTTTTTTTTAGCCCTAGTGGGGGTAGTTAGTTCAAATCGTTGGAAACCGATTGTCACTTGTCAAAAAAGTAAATTGTCACTTAGTAAGCACTATATATTTTGAATTTGAATTTGCACCACTGGGCAAAGTAAACATTTCTTTGCATCTCCTTAAAATAAAAGAATAGAAATAAAAGCGCTAAAAAAAGGCCAAAAAAGCTTTTTGTACCTGGTGTCAAAAAATAGGAAAATAATTAAACCTTTCATAAATCACCTGACAAAATGGATTCAGTACAAAAACCATACATATTTTCAGTAACAAAATACCTTGGAAAGCTCTCTGTGTATGTGTATTATTACAAAAGCGCACTAGCTTTTTTTTCAGTTTGCGGATTTTTGGCCGGTTTTCGCGAACACTTCTTGACTTAAAGCTCCTCAAAGTGCGCTGAACTTTGCTAGAAGACTCGAGTTGAGATGCCAGCTCATAAATTGAAATATTATTAAAAATACTTGGCAGGTCCGAGCCAGAAATGCTACGTGGTTTTATTTACTCATCATGTCAATGATCTTAGAATATAAATTATTTAGATAGAGCGTTTATATTGAAGTATATGGATAATTATAAAAAAAATCCCTTGTTTTTTCATTGGTATGTGATTTATTTCAATACCTTTCTGGTTCTATTTATTTGAGAACTAAAACATTTTGTTGTCAGTTAACACGGTGCTTGTCGCAATTGACTGATTCATATTGATTTAATTTAATGATTTTCGTGAATCGCGAAACTTTAAAACTATTCACGCAAAATAATTTCCTATTTAATTTCCTAGGGATCTCTAAATCCAACTGCAGTCGCCACTGCACCCCAAGCTGCAGCGTTTATCACGAATCAATGAGCACTCCGGGTAATTCCTCCGGCAGTTTCAATGAGGAGAGTATCGCTTCATCAGAACGGTCAGTACTTTAGTGTAAGGTGGCTTCGATTTTTGAAGAAGTGGAACTTTCCTAAATATTAACGTTTGCCTGCGGCTTTACCCACGTGGATTTCAAAACATGATGGTGGATTTGAAGAGAAGATAGTGTGCTACTAATTCTACAGGTGTTTGTGTGTGTTTTGGACCTCATCTTTTTCTTTCATTATAGCTTAGCTTTGGTACACAACTCTATTTGTAGAACCAGTGTCAAGATTTTTGCCGCCAAGGAGTCCGTGCCGAGATTTAGGTAAAAGTATAAAAACATTTTGTGCAGTATTTTTCCTCCCTTATTCTCCTCTCACCTGTTTCAGAATTCAATCGCTTTTAACTTGCTCTATTCCTTTAAGTTTAAACAATGTTTTGTCCCATTTAAATTACCAACTATGGTCACTTGACACTATTATTTATTCGAGTTTCTATGCTCCTTGCACAATTTTGCACTAACTTTAACAGCAGCTTATTACATGGCTATACATACATATAATATAGCTTAGACGCTAATGTTACAGTGAGTTTTGAAAGTTTGGATCCTACATTAAGTAAACTTAACAGGCCATCTGCATAGAGTAGCAGAGACCAATTTTTATTTTTT